GATCCTATGTCGGGATGTTTGTTCAGATTTGTAGTGTCGTGAGGTTTTGAAAAAGTACGAGGTTTTCGACTCTAACTCAATTTGACATGAGATAAAACCTTTTGACAACTCCACTGACATTTACACAAAGGGATTTTATCATTTGATTTGACACTATGCTTGGTCAGCGGTTTATAGAGTGAATTGGACTTGTTACCGGTCCGAGGTGGGTGATTCCTGACATGTGTGCTTTTTGGTTTTTGAAAAGTTTGTTTTGAAAGAGGTTTAGCACGTGAAAAACTTTGTGTCCTTTTAGGTGGATTTGGTAAAATACCCTTCCACTTGTTGAAATTTTAACGTGACTTTAAGAGTGGTGGAGTGGGTAAAATACCTTTCCATTTAGGATCGTTTAAGGAATAGACCTGAAAAACATAGTTTCGAAAAGACTTGACACTTCTTTGGGTTTTTTCAGAAGTAGCAGGAATAACTTTTGAAACTGAACTTTCCTTTTTGTTGATTTTCTTGATGGAAGACTTTTTTGAAAGATAGTGTGTGAAGACAAATTTTTCTGGACTCTTAGATTTTGGAATTCTGACATGTGTCTTATTTTTCGAAAAACTTTGTCTTTTTGTGCCTCAAGATCTAATCTCTTCTTTGAAATCCCTTTTTGCCACAGATTTTGGGGAACCGCAGTCATTGTTATTGAACTGCGGTTTCCTGAAATTTTTTAAATTATTTTGAAAACGTGGGCTTGAATCATCAGAACTTGAGGATTCTGGGATTTGAGAGCATTGACATATTTCAAAATTTTCTTTGGGTAACTCATGAAATATAGGCTGAAGAGTTGCGGTTCCTTGAACAGATGACTGCCGTGGAGATGACTTGACTACCACAGAGTAGGTCTTAGGTGGGACTTCGATGGGACACTTGTGGGACATTTGACTACAGTGTGAGACACTGCGGTCTGAGGAAAAAGATGGAAAGTCTTTTGAGACTTCGGGGCCCTCAACAACAATCTCTTCATCAACTACGGATGAAGTTTGAGAATTTGGATAGATGGTGCCACAGATAGGAATTTGATCACATGTGTGACCCGAAACCTCAGGCACAATTTCCTCAATGACACAATTATTGCTCAAATTGTGCAGTCTACCGAAGTGAGTTTTGATATCTTCGGGAAAAGTCTTGTCGTTGACAAGAAAGTGAAATTCTCTATCCGGAGGGACATACAATCTGTCTTTGTTGAACCGGGGTAAGGAATCCATTGCGGTAGGATATCCATTTGACCAACCCCAATTATATGTATTGTCCACGGTTCCATTATTTACCAAATTTTCAATAGCCTCACTTTCATTAAACAATTTTTCAATTAAGAGATTTAATCGTACAATTTCTCTCTGAGCTAAATCTCTCTGGTTCAAAGTTATCTCTAATTGGGTTTCGCTTAACATTCTAGCATCTTTTTCTAACTCTAGATCCTTCTCTAACATAGCCATCTTAAGTCTTTTGTTATCCAGTCGTCCTCTCACGTGGAACATCTCTTGGGACGCAATATTCTTCTCATCTAAGGCTTTGTTATAGTCTGTAAGGACGGCAGCACAAGTGTCATTAACATCATCTATGTAGGGCTGACAGTCATGCATACTATAATTTGAAGTTTGGATCATGAGTTTTACCTGTTCGACGATGCTTAGAGTTCCATCCTTTTTCCATGTAGCAGTAGTTCTTGTTCAGCATTGCAAACCCATCATCATCTGCAGTGGACAGCATGCAGATTTTCCCTTTTCCTTTACCACTGCTGATGGTCTCTTCTTCGTCTCTGGATGACCAAACTTGATGGTCTCTTTTGACATGGGCCACATATGCCCTTTCCTTTTCCTTTTCTTCCAACTCTTGAGCCATTCTAAGATAGAATGCTCTGTCTTTGACTACATTGGCCTTACAATCTCTTGCGAAGTGGTTTTCTTTGTTGCATTTGTGACAAATCACAACATCCGTCTTGTCTTCTGAGGGAGTACCGGAGTCAGTGGTCTGAGGAGACTGCGGTACCTCCTTTGGTGGGTTGTTCTGAGATTGCGGTGGTGGATGAGAACTTTTGGGATATCGAGAATGGTTGTTCTGAGAACCGAAGTTACGGTTGAATGGAGGTTTGTTGAACTGTTGATTCTTGCGGAAGGAAGGAGGTGGTATACGGTTGAACTGTTGGCTAACCAGAGCAATAGCCTTCTGAAATTCTTCTTCATCATCATACTCAGAATCCGCTTCGTATGACGTCGATGGAGTGTCATATGCTGAAGAGTAGGGTGACTGCGGTGGAGCTTGTGCTATGAGAGCAAGTGGTCCTCCGAAGTCAGCACAGTTTTTTAGTACGGTGGATTCTTGTGCTTGAAGCTCTCTATAGAGCTTGTAGAGTGATAAAGAGTGAATCTTCTTGTCGCCTTAGACTATCATCTTAGTTGTAGTCCAATGTCTTCCCAAACCATTAAGGAACTGGAGATTGGTTTCATGATCGCTGCGGATGGTCCCCGCATTGGATAGCTTGGTGACTATCAAGTTGAACCTTTTGAAGGAGTCTTCTAAACTCTCACCAGTATGAGCTTTGAAGTTGTTGAAATCGTTGAGTGCGGTAGTGAGCTTTTTGTCTTGTGCTTGCTCTAAGCCTTCGTATAGGTTCTTGAGGACATCACATATCTCCTTTGCTGATTTGCAGTTTATGATAATATCGAAGTTGTCAGGAGCAACTCCGCAGGAGATTTCATAAAAAAACAACAACATCATTTTCCATTTTATCGAGATCATCCTTGGTGGGACGGCTCATGGCTGGTTGACCTCCTCCTAGCCTGGTTGCAGCACCGTCAGTTTGAACTGGTGTAAGGACTGGAACATGTGGTCCTTCTTCTACGGATCGCCATACATCTCTTCCTAGTCTTCTCAAGTACCTCTCCATTCTTTGTGACCAGTGATGATATTCATTTGCTACCAGTATTGGGGCTCGGTTAGAACCACCAACACTATTGGAGACATTCAGAGATAACGATTGTGCCATTTGATTTGAGTTTTTTTTTTTTTAAGAAATGAGCTTTAGTGATATAGAAGACTTTTTGAAAAATCAGAGTTCCGATATCGAAAAAGCAACCACTTTGGCTCTGATACCAATTGTTGAGAGAAAAACTTTGAAGACACACTTGAACAAACGTTAGAACAAGTATAAGTTGCGGAATAGTTAATCTCAAAGGATCTAAAAGCTCAACAATAATATTAATAAGTTAAGAGTTAATTAGTTACTTGCGGAAATATAAAGAAAGATAAATGACAGCAATTGTTATATCAAGAATACACTTAAGCTGATTCGTAACTAGGAATGCATTCACTCCAAGTTAATAAGGAAGATCAAGCTTAGTGATTAAGTCTTAAAGACTTGCTCCGGAGAGAGGTTATAATCAGATATGCTTAAGTAACAATTGAGAGTAATAAGAACAGAAAGATGGAGAAATGAAGAAGATAACTTGAAGAAATGTATTCAAAATAATACGCAAGTTATCAGTGATAGAGATGTGTAGAGGTATTCGATACAAGAGAATGAGTCTCTATTTATAGAGACTCTGAACTAGACTACGACTCTATAAGTATCCGTGCAAAGCATACTGGATAATAGAGTGTATTACAGAAAAGACAAAGTAATCTAGTTAAGTTGACTGTGGTAGCTGGCTCCAGGTGCAGAAGTGGTTGATGATGAAGAAATGACTCCGGGTGTTGAATTGGCTGCGGGTGCTAAACTGTTGAGGTAGAGAGAAATAGTTACGGTAGCTGAGTTCAAGAGGGTCACTTTTATGATTCAACAATATCACCTCGGTTAAAATGATTGCGCCATGTAGTTGGATAGTTTTTGCATGCCTAATGCGTACAATCAAGGCTACCGATCATTCCTTGAAATTCATGTCTCTCTTCATGTGCTAAATACAATATCTCAATAGCACGTGCAATAAGTTTGCACAAAATATTCTTTACAAAAACCTCATAAACACATTTGCAAAAATGATCTACACACTCATTTGCGGTCACCCTAGATACTTTAAAGTACCCATCTGTTGCATCAAAAGGTATACCATGTCATAAATATCTAAATGCACATGCACATTTCTCTATATCACTAAAGCTCATTCTACCTCTAATGTCTGGTTTTTGTTTAAAATATCTATATCGTGCCTATAAAACATTACTAATACGTAAAACTAATGCCCTATTAAGACGGAAACGACGTTTGAATGCTTCATCATTATAAAAGCAATTATCGGCAAAATAATCACGTATCAAAAGTTTCTGCGCGGTTTGGCGATCTCGATCGACAACCGCTCTTGTATGCGTAACATCAATACGCTCTTCATCGTGTATGTGTTGGACAACGTTACAAAATGTTGAGATAAACTCCCCGTTATGATCCAAATCAAAATTTGTAAAAAAATCCATCTATATGATATTTTAAAGAGTATAAAAAAGAATAATGGTTTAAAAATATGGTGGTAGTAAGTTGTATTTATATGTAATTTTTTTTTTTCAATTACATTCGTGTGTTTGTGTTCGTGGTTCTCACCAGGTGGACAACGAATGTCCTCCATGGAGAGTACTCCGAATGGCCATATAAGTAAAAGAAAATACACGGCCTATATTGGTTGGATAAGCGAAGTGTGTTGCTATTTCATACAATGTGCCCTGAATTGAATAACACAAACACAAAAATACATATTCTGTACATAGTTTTTTTTCTAACTCGTATTTGACAAATTATGAATGTTTCGACCAAATCATCATTTAAGACGTTTTGAACGAAAATGTTGATAAATTTTCAGACACAATTTAACCAAAAGCACCCAATATATGATCTTGGGACACAATTGTATACAAATTTGTCAAAGACGATATGGTCATACATTCATCATTCGTGTCAAAAGTGTTCATAATTTGTCATGAAAAGAACACCAGAAGCAATGTAACATACAATTTAAAAATTAGAATCCCATGTCTTAATGAGCAACATTACTTTGCCCATTTTCTGCAGATTGCAGGATTCTGCAATCAAACATGATGAAAAAGAAGAAAACAAAAACAAGTTCTCAACTTAGGGATTGAATTTGTCTCCCCCTTCAAAGTTCATAATAGTGTAAAAATGGCAAAAATGCCATAAAACAAACAACACCTCACAAGAAGAAATCCTCCCTGATGGATGCATACATTAGTTGGTTGGAAGAGATCGAGCCACTCGAGGCCTCACGGGTGTCTTGGATGGACTCACCCTATATAAGAACAAGAAAAATATATAAATATTTCTTTAAAAAAAATCAAGATTTAAAATGAAAAATATATACAGAAATGAGAAACTTACCTTATTGGTTGAGTTCCAAGTGTTTGACCACAGCAATCTAATGCAATAATCGCACTTTCTGCCTGCAAATCATCCATAATGTATATAAAAATTATCAACAGATGAAGCAAAAATGAAGGAAAATTCCTAATGATACAAATCAAGAATCTAAATTGAGTTTTATACTTTTAAATTATTCCTAATGAAACACATCAAGAGTCACAAATATTTAAAAAGGTTAATGTCATAAATGCGTAACAATATAATTTTACCTTGTAAATCGTTTTATTCAAAAAATTCAAGTACTTACTATATATTTTGCATAATTGTCATTGTTTCATTATATCTTTACAAAAATTTTAAAATGGACAAAAAGAAAAATTATTCGTTAGTAGAAATCAAAATATATCATTTATAGTATTTTCTCGGTATTTTTAACATAAAAATAAAAAACTCACCATCACAAATTCAACAAAAGCAATTCGCGTTGAATGAACATGATCTCCCAAAAGCCGAATGCGAGAAACCTCACCGCATCTTGTTTCAAAAAAATTCTTGACCTCCGCTTGAGAAACCTGTCGTTGTTTCTTTTTGACTTAATGAACTTAACAGAAACAACAAGACTTAATCTGGTAAACTGTATATGGTATACCGACCTTTTTGTCAATATTTGTACAGTAGACTGTCCTTGCACACATCTCCTTTTCATCCTCTGACTGAATTCCAATCATCCAAAAAGTAAATAAATAATTTAATCCCATCATCTTTTTTGATATAAATATATATTTTTTATTAAAAATGTTTTATTTCATATTCATAACTTCATACCCTTGGAAGGAAAGTTGGATTCACCGGAAGGATGGCAGTTTTTGAAGGCAAAACCCTAACTTGAGAGAACCCCAACATTATTCCACAAAGATTAAGAGCTGCTCTTGCGGAATCTATCACCATTTAATAATGTAAGCTTTTCTCAAATGATATTTTTTTCTTATACAATTTTATAAAAACTATAAATATTAAAACTTTTTTTTTATGTCTAACTTACTCTCATCAGCAAACTCTACGAATGCAAAACGGAGACGTGAATGTGGGTCCCCACAAACTCGACAATCAAGAACCTTCATAATGATATAACACACAAAATAAGGACTCAAATAATCAATTAAACACAAATTTTTAATGGTTTGATTTTAAAAAAAAAAAAAAAAAAAAAAAAATGTATTAGTGATTAAACCATAAAACTCCAAAAATCTATATATATATAATTATTTTTTGTGTAATTTGTTATTTTAAAGAGTAAGGACTTACTTGGCCATAGGCGCTAAACAGAGCAGCAAGTCTCTCTTCGGTGACCTAAAAGAAGGAAAGATTCGATGATTCATTATATAAAATGGCATCGATTCATTATAGAACAAAGGGTTTCAATGATTCGTTATAAGAAATGACTAGATTTAGATTTATTATAAGTGTTGTTACTTACATTATGATCAATGTCAGAAACATAAACTGTTCTCTTAATGCTATCTTCTCTTTGAGCTCGAAAAGCTCTTCCATTTAATCGTCTTCTTCCCTGACTATAGTTATTTCTCCTCTGTATAACAGAATAATAAAGCTTTTAGCAGATAGAACGAAATCATGAATAAGAATCACAAATTATAATCAGATACACATCACAATTGGTTGTAAAAAATTTGATTTAATCGTAATAAGACCCTCGAGAAACTAATTATCTAAGGGAAAAATGATAATCGAACCAGTAAATAACATAATTTAATCAAAATGCATCAGTTGATTAACATACTCTGCGATTATTAGGGTATGCTTCAATTCCGTCTCCAGGGGAATTAGTGAAATAAGCAGGCGCGAAGTAATTGAGGGTAAGTTCGGTATGATCACCATTGCGATCAATTGGCGAGTAGGAAGAAGGGAAGAATTCCTTCGCCATGGGATTCAACTTCAAATTGGACAAGATATCGACGATATCTTGCATTTTCATCTCTGATTTTGAATCGGAATCGGACCCGTTTTGGGAGTCAACGTTATTCACAACGGAATCGTTATCATCGGGTTTAGCAACATTGAAATTGTCGCTCTGGTTGGTAACGGCGACCTCAGTTTTTGGTGAGGATTGATCAACGACAGTAATAGAACCAGCCACCGTCGTTGATGCTGCGGATTCGATTGAAATTTCAGGACCAGCAGCCATGGAACCCAAAACCCCACTTCCTCAAAAACCCAGGAAAAAAATTGAATTTAATAAAGGAAATGGAGCAATGAAATCAAAACCCCCAACTCGTGGAAAAATAAGCTCAATTCTATCAAGAAAAGGAAACAAATTAAATACTTATCAAGAAAATGAATTGCTGATAAACTACGCAAAAGCCCAATTCCTTTTCTTACTCTAAATGAAAAGAAAGGTGAAGAACGAAAGGGGTTTTTCTCCAAAAGGGCGATCTTTTGCAGTGTAATTATCTCAAAAAGTGAATTCTCTCTTTAAACAGACATGGAAAAAGCCTACAGAGAGAAACCCATTTTAAGAGCCACAATCTAAAGGAAAAGAAAGGAAGATCGAATTGCAGGAATAGGGTTTTTGAGGAATTTGATCAAAAGATGATGATGGGTTTGTCTTGGAGAAAAACAGGTGGCTTGAATTCGTCTTTTCTTCACCTTCCTTTATTTGTTGCCTTTTACTAACAGAAACAGTGAATGTATATGAAAGAAAAAGAACATTTGAGAGAGAGAGAGAGAGAGAGAGAGAGAGAGAGAGGAAGGTGCATTAAAGTGAGGGACGTTCGAATTGGGAAAGGCAACAGCTAACGTAAGGTGACTTAAGCCTTTTTTGTTACTTTATGTAACAATCAATATGTCACTCATAACTGCTTCTCTTTCTTTAATTTAATATCCCTTTTTCCAACTCAATTATAAAAATCTTTTAAATATAATTGAACTTCCAAAAACAATGTTTTAATATTCAAAATGAATTGATCTGTATATAATATTTTATTTTTATTTATATATATAATAATTTATATTTCAACTTTCATATTCAAAAAATTTGCAATGCGTTTATTGGAGGTTTATTGGAGGTAACGGCAAAGGGTTGTGAAAGGTGTTGAAAAATAACCATATTCAAATAAACTGACTCACCAATCTGTTTATGATTCGAGTATATTAGGTCTGATAGATAGGATTTATGATAAGATATATCGGAGGTTTGTCAATCTGTTTATGATTCGAGTATATTAGGTTTGATAGATAGGATTTATTAGTAGTTAACGTAAAAGCCTTTTCTAAAGCCCCATAACTGATCACGACCATGATACTTGATTTTAACAACGATGAACCCTAGCCAAAACCAAACTGTTGAAACCCATTTTGACGATTGGTGGATGCGAAATAATAATATCTCGAGATTTAACGAACATAAAAATGAAGAACATGAAGATGAGTAGTTTCATAATCACTAGAAAAGAGAAAAAAATTATACATTAAGAACATTGTTGGGAGAGATAAATATCCCTTGGTGGGAGAAATTCAACCACACTTTCACTCTCTAGAAACTACATTGTGAGTGCACTCTTACTTTTACAATGATCAACTCTCTTTATATATAGGAGAGAGAAACACCAACAATACAATAAATGGAAAATAATAAACCTAACTTATCACTCATAATTTGTAGAGCATTTACATGCTCCAACATTCTCTCTCTAAATGTTCGCAAATAATGAAAGATACAAATGATGCGATAAAAGACTAAAATACAGTAACTAACTAGCAAGTGTGGTAATAAAATGAAACATAATGAGAACCAAATATTGAAATGTCTCTGAAACTCTGAAATGTTTGTGATCTTTGATGCGCCATGAATCTCTACACAGTAAAGGTCTTCAACTTCAAATCATCACCAATGAAGCAGAAAAATAAGATCCAAATCTTCAAACTAGTCATAAGCCCCATGATCAAGTAGAAGATCCAATAAGAAAAACACGTCGGTTTCAAGAAGTCTGAAAAACATCTATAGTTTTCGAATCATAATACACCCAAAATTCTTCAAAAGAATAACCTGCTAAAAATGTCAAACATCCAAAAGTGAAGTCTGAATAATAAATAATGTGAATCTAAAGACATGGTCTAGTAATACCAAAATTTTGATCGGAATATCAAAAGTAAGTGCCACGTCACATCGCCAAAATAGTCTTCGTCTTCAAAATATCACAAATCCTAACTCGAGAAATCCTAAGATCTGAACCGGATGCAAACACAAATGAATCATCCTATGGTAGAGTCTGAATAATAAATAATCTGGAACCGGAAAACATCTAGTGAAGCCAAAAATTTGATCCGTGAAGACCAAAAATCAGTGTCACATCGCATCACTAAATAAATTATCGTCTTCAAAAGTCTTCAAAAATCAAACCCAACAATCATAAAATCACATCCAGGTGATATTCTCTTTCTATTTTTTATAACCAATGACCGAACATCAAAAATCAACAAATCATCGGGATGGAGAGTGTCGAATACCAAGAGGTATGCAAGCTCTCCCTAAATGTATGAATGTATCGATAAAACACGAGAATGAGAGTAAAATAAATACTTTGCGGTCATCTGTAGCTGGCTGATTCAGTCGCTGAAAACTGTTCGATTAAATACCAAAGTAACAATAATAACTCTGCGTGAAAAAATCTATGTTATGCTGAATAATAATACCAATATACCCAAACTGCAGTGTCGAAACTCCCGAAGTGGTCTTCAAAAAGAAATAAAGTCCACATGCACAAGATACATGGTTCGTCAAACGTAGATCAAAACCGACAAGTTACAAAAATCCCATAAAGCGAAGAATGTGAAACAACTTTGTTGATCAGGCGCCGTTGCGGTGCAAATATCGCGAAGAATAATATGATGTCCGATTACGGTATGGAGTAATCCTCATGGAAAGAATAAAATTCTTCCAATATAATGTGACATCCCCATTTTCACGGTCAGAAAAAGATCGATTTTGTTTATGCTTTGTTTAAAAATCAGAGTAACATTATAAATAAAAGTGTTGCGTAATTTGTTCCCAAAATAAAATATGATAAATATTTATCAAAGCATTTCCGTAGAAATGTATTTCATTAAAAACCTCGGGATGTCATGTTCGATACAGATCAAAAGCATAAACAATACAATATAAGTCTTACTACATTTATTCATATCTACAGGCCTATATCTGTAATCTCTCATCCCAAACATCATATCTATGCTCGTGCGCCACTACCCTTAATACAAGAAACTGAGTGGGTTAGACTTGGGAGCCTTGTGAGCACATAGGGTTTTCAACCCACAATAAATAAGTTTATTAATTTCATCAACCAACAATAACCCAATTACCCGTTCCCGTTATCCTCACATTACGTCCCTAAAACACCTATCATAAGGGACCTAGACTAAGGATCAACATCGGGATGGACACTACTGCCAAGGGGTTTCCTCAGCAATAAATGTCCTAAAGGCAACCATGAGGGGAATGAAGTACATCGGTGAACACATTGTTCACAAACACCTACAGGTTGCGAGCCTGCTAGCGTTCCACTGGACTGTCTAGAAGAGTATGTGGTCGTCATCCATACTCCGCTAGATGACAGAATCAACAACAACAACATCGAGGCCTCTCATCATTTTATCACATATTGTCTATTACATCTACCAATGTTTTACCCCAACATTTTTGTAGATATAAAATACATATACAGTTTAAATCATTTAAAACATGTATAAAAAAATCATTCATCCAGCATAGATAACAAGTATATAGATAATATGCACACATAGCACGTAATTTATATAAAATACTTCATATCTATGTGTAAGATGAAAGTAACTATGCACTCACTTGTTAAGGTGGTGACTCGGTACTTGGACAACGCTTTGATACCTCAAAACAATTTTTCCCTTAACAAAACAAGGGGGCTTTAGCTAGGAGCCGAGCGCTGCAGGGGCAGAACTTCGTCGCTGAATCTTTCTAAGAAAGATTTGTGCAACGCTTCAGCGCTCACCTTACTATACTAAAACTACAGAAAGAGAAGTCGAATCACGAGGGACCGGAATGCTCGGGGGATAAGAAGAGAAAGACTCTTGAATCAAGAGAATGGTGCAAGAAATATGAGAGCTAGAGGCTCTTATTTATACTAATTGAATTTTCAAAAACTACCCTCCATAGTTACTTAATGACCTTATAGTTATATAAACAACTAAACACCCCTTTATAATACTATTTTAAATAGATTTAACAATATTTGTACTAAACTAATGTCGAAAGAACTCAACATTAGTCTTATAATGACCGCATCGTTGATACCTTTCTAATGATATATACATATTTGTGTGTGTGTGTATATATATATATATATATATATATATATATATATATATATATATATATATATATATATGTACGTATATATGATTTATACTTTACTTTAATATGTAAATATGCTATTATAATTTGTAACTCGTTCATACAAACTCCGTTTTTTGACGTTATTTATATACACGCGTATGTGGAGACGTACTCTACAACTTTTGTTTAGACTCCGTTGGCTAATTTTGACTTTATTTTTAAAGTTATATTTTTAACATATGTACGTATATATGATTTATACTTTATTTTAATATGTAAATATGCTATTATAATTTGTAACTCGTTCATACAAACTCCGTTTTTGACGTTATTTATATCCACGCGTATGTGGAGACGTACTCTACAACTTTTGTTTAGACTCCGTTGGCTAATTTTGACTTTATTTTTAAAGTTATATTTTTAACAAGCTGGGACAGGATTGGTCCGTTAAAATCTCATAACTTCTTCATTCGATGTCCATTTTCGTCTGTCTTTTTATCGTTACGCTACTAATAACAAGATTTTCGATTCTTGTTTAGGTTGTGTCGGCTAAAAACCGCTCGATCTAATATTCGAACTTCAGGTTGTACATTGCTAAGCCGAAACTTCAAAAAATCATAACTTCCTTATACGAAGTCAGATTTGGGTGTTCTTTTTATGGATGCTCTCGATTTAACATTTTCTACGACTTTCGTTTAGGCCGCTAAGGCTAAAAGTCATTCTATCATAAATTCACTATTTACGCTTCCCGGTGTCGCGCCGGTTTCATCGTGAAACTTTGACGGGTCATAACTTTTCGTTATAACTCAGATTTCGGC